AAATAATAAAAGAAAAAGAAAAAGAACGAATAAAAATAAAAGTAATTAAAAACAATGTGTATCCAAATTAATAATATAATCTACATTTCACATCTAATCTATTTAGCGAAACATTAAGAAGTATTAATGTAGATCTGTATTAAATTATACATGTTATGCAAGAAAATGATAAACATAACACGAAAAAGAATAGACATGATACAAGAAAATACAAGGGTATGTGAAATTTGTTACAGTTAGCAAGTGTTATTTTGGCTCTTGATTTGCGAATTGGTGATATTTTTAAAGAGAAATTAAATAATTTATAAGTGAAAAATTAAAAGAAAAATAATAAATTAAAGTATGAATATATTTATAATAAATATAATTATACAAACAAAATTATTAATAATTATAATTAATAATTAAAAGTAATTACAATATTTTTGTGTTAAATTATATTTAAAAGAGGAATCTGATTGAATAGATTTATAATTTAGGCTGATCTTTATGTCTAATTTTCATGCAATGGTGTGCATTTCTATTATTTTTATAATATTCTTTGTGATTCAGAAATTTGTTTGTATCACAACTTGTAACTATGTCACAATGGATAATTGCTCAATTGTAGAATTATCATTGGTAATTTTTTTATAATTAATTGTGTGTGATTAAATAATTCACAAAAAATATACTCTATTAAATTTTTTGATCCTGCAATCTAATTGATTAACATTGGTATTTGACACTAGTAATGTGATTTAGTAATATTGAAAAATAATATCCAAATAAATGTAAACCAATAAGATATAATATATCAAATAACCAATAAAAACGTAATAATATAATGTCCAATAAAAATGCAGGTAGTAAAATATACTATAACAATACTATCTGATTGAAATCATATAAAAGATATGGCATATACTTGAAAGTTATAAAACCAACCAATTGAGATGTGTGAGCATCGATTTTTTCCCGAAAAAATTTCTTGTCAAGTTTTAAAAGAGCTAGACCGATAACACAGAATTATTAATAAGGGTAAGAAGATCCCAATGAAGAAAAGGAAATCAATGAAAAAAAATCCGATGCGTTATTTTACTATTATAAATTTAATTAAACGCGACAAATGTAACTATCAGAAAGTGTAAAATATCTGACCCAACGTTGCGGGGCGATTGAATTGTTGTTAATAGGAAGATTGTTGTTATTGTCATGCACTTTGAGTCTTCGAATTTGGATTTTTGAGCATGTGTAATTCTGAATATTAAATTCAAGACTACAAAAAAATAATATTGAATATTTCATTATGAATAATAGTAAGCATTAGATAAAAACAATATTATTTGATATAATGGTCGACCGATTCAGCTTATAACGGACTAATTTTCGAAAAAAGCTATATTTAGTTTAGATCAAAAAGAGTTTATTTAACGGATATCAGATACAGTGTTGGCAGTTTTATGAAATTTTATAGCTCCAGTACTCCAGTTGGCGCAGTTTTTTATAATCCCAGTTACAGTTGCCAACACTGATCAGACCATATAGTAGGAACGGAGAGTCCATTATATCGGCTTTCACTGTATACATAAATTCTTCTTACCTAATTGGTCCAACTTCCAATTGCGATGCTACTGAGAATGGTTCATTTCCAATGACCTTTTCAATTGTGTATAAAAAAGTATTAGTTTTTATATATATTACAATTATATAATTTTTTATAATAGATTCACAATACCTTGATTCTTATAGTTCTCTCCGTTCCGCCTTCAAAATTATTTATAATCCACTTTCCTTTTTTCGTTTTCTCATCGAAAGTAAAAGATTGATCCGAGTTCGAGTTGAAATCGTGCGAGCTTTTCTCGAGAAATTCGGATGAAACGCTGTTTTCGTATTTAACAGTCAGTTAAAAAATTTAATTAACTAGTAAATCAAATGCAATCAAAGCATGTTGCTTATTTTAATTATGTTACTTACCTAAGACTCGACCTCGGCAATGGCACCCAAACAAAACACTCTTTCGCAATACGATCTTTCGGAAAATCCGACCTCATACGAATTAGAACGTCCATTTTGTTGGTATTAGTTTTTGATTTGTCTGATAATGATGGACTTTCGAGTAGTGGAAATACACGGAATGGAAGGTTTATGTCACTGGATATTCGATATCTATTGAGAAAAAAATTAGATCCAACACAAAAACCAATGCATCCTGAAGTTGTTTCTTACATCATGGCAGTGAATTCTCCATGAGGTGGAAATACCACCAAACTTTTATTTTTTTCGAAATCTTCAATGAAATAGTTTTCTCCATTAAATAACTTCCTAATGTATTCAAGTATTATTAGTTTATTCGAATATCACTTACCTGAAGATACAACCGATTCGTGGAACAGGTAATCGTCAAGCACGATAGGAGGTTTTTCTGTATGTATTTTTTTTTAATTAGAATAGATAGATCAAAATTCAGCTAATATAAAAAACAATTAACTACCTAAATTATCTGAATCTCGACTACCAGACAAAATATTCGAGTTCAATCCAATTCTTAACTCGGGATTGTTACCAGTCAAGTAATTTTTAATTTGTATTGATCCATCAATTTCAGCGCGAACTGTCATTCCCTGAAAATAAACATAAAAAGAATCCAAGAAATACAATAAACCAAAATGAAGCCAATAATAATTTATACAGGAATTTTGAAGAATTAATTACATTTATTGCAAAAGCAGCAACCACACGTTCAATAACTTCAATATAAACTTCATTTATCGATGTCCTGGTACTTTTATTCTTGGTATCGCGAAGAGAAGTTATGGATCTATTGATATTATTATTGTTATTAATCATCATCGCCGTTGTTCCTATTGATGACTTCGTTTGTTGGTTTACTGAAGATGCCCCGAGTATTTTTGGTTGGAACTTGTTATTTAGATTGTGAGAACATTTTTTATTATAATTTTTTAACGCACCAATAATTTATTAATGTAAAATACCTTATTAGATATTGATTGTAAAATATTCTCTTGTTTGAAGACTGGTTCTTCATATACGTAGGTCATCAATTGATCAGTTGAAGTAGTCTGCGGATATCCATAATCCTAGTAAAATAAAATCGTAATTCTTTACACACTTCTCTTATTATAGAATTAGATGAGAAATGCTCGCATCACTCACTCACAATAACTTCATCAATCAATTCATAAATTAAATCAGAATTAATAATCAAGCTTTCTTCATTCAAAGAACCACAAAAATCTCTAATCAAAACTGCAATTTGACCAAGCAACTCGCATATTGTAAACGGGGATACATTAAATCTAGTTGTGCACACCAAATAAAGATCCGCCTCATTGATATCAATATACAGATATTGTACACCATCAAGATGAAATACTGAAGGTGGTGAACTATTATTATTACGATCAATTGGATTGTTATTTTCAATATGCCACTCTTTTATCCATTCATTGAACTTGCTTGGTGTATCACGTGGTGTATCATCTCTATCTCTTATCAAAGGAAAACATAACTTAGTATTTTTGAAGATCAATTACTTTTGTCTCTTGAGTTAACAATACTTACAATCACGAAATAAAAGAGTTTCTCCTCTCTTGACAGACAAAATATAAAGTTGTGAAATCATCGAAAATTCGTCTTACTACAATTACGTAATTGATAGTAATTTAAGGGATGGTCGGGATCGGAATCACATGATCTTCACTTTTTTTCGCCTTCACTTCACTTTGGAGTACCCTAGCCATGGCGAAAAAAATGTCCGGATCATGTGATATTTGGTATGTCCGGAAAAATTCTACGGTAATAGAGGTTATTGTTAAAGGTTAATTTAAAGATTAGGGTTAGGGTTAGATCTGGGGTCAAGATTATATATTAAATTGCCTTCCCGACATTTTTTATTAGTCTACCAAACTAGATTTAGGCATCTGTTTCCCATATTTTTTTCTTGTTTTGGTTTGTGTCACCATCAGATCAAAAATTCATTCTTATTGGCTGACACATGATCCGGACATTTTTTTTCGCCATGGTTAGGGTAATTGAATGATGACATAATGATCTACTGATAATCTGTGTTCGAGTTTCTTCTCCTTTGCATATAAATAATATAAATAAAAATAAAATACACAGAATAGAAAGCGAGTAAAAGAAAAGAATGGCGGTAACTTATTCATTTTTAATGGCACAAAATGACAGCTAAAAACAAAGCGGTCTTACATTTTCTGTTTATTATATAAAGATAAAATATGTTTTATTGGTGAGCCGACAAGGCAAGGTACGATTAGCCAAATGGTTTAATACCTTATCACCAAAAGAAAAACAAAAAATTATCAAAGAAGTCACACAGATGGTTTTGTCACGAAGAACAAAAATGTGTAATTTCTTGGAATATAAAGGTGAGAAAGTGTATCATTTTCTGGTTTTTTTTAATCAAGTAGATTTTACTGAATTACTTATGTGATCTATCTTCTTTCCTTGTAATAGATGAAAAAGTAGTATATCGAAGGTGGGAAAGTGAACATTCAATTACTAATGAGTCGAATTTATCTTTCAATCGATAGAACATTTTTTTAATTCTTGATTTGTTCGGATTAATATGTTCAATTAGATATGCAAGTCTTTACTTCGTAACTGGTATTTCATCAAATGACAATGAACTTATAACCTTGGAAATTATTCATCGATATGTTGAGATTTTGGATCGATATTTTGGAAATGTGAGTTGTTTATTATCTATGATATTTTATTGATTTCTAATTATATTTTTAATTTTAATTTATTATTATAGGTATGTGAATTAGATTTGATTTTTAATTTTCAAAAGGTAATATCAACCTATCTATTTGTTATTATCTAATATCTGAATTTTATTTTTTACATCGTTTTTCTTCTTAAGGCATATTTTGTTCTTGATGAGCTAATCATCGCGGGTGAAATGCAAGAGTCTAGTAAGAAATCGGTGTTACGTGTTGTGAGTCAGCAAGATGCTTTGGCAGATGGGGAAAGTGGTGAGAAAGGATGGCCTGAAAAATAAATTACAAACAAAAATAATTAACACGAATTTTAATAATTGCTTGGCAAAAAGTATATATAAAAATAATCTTGAATTTGGCATTTAAAATAATGTAATATATTTAAAATTAAACTTATAAAAGATCATCATCTATAAAAGGGATTTTTTGTTTAGAAACGATTGGCGTCTAACTTTTTCTTATAATTAGGACAATGGAACGACAATTATACTGCATTGTCTCTCTCTTCATCTTCTATGACATACATATACATACATGACTACATGCATAATCGTATATATGGTATTCGCAATTTTGTATTCTCACCATTAAACATGAAATCTACCGCCACTATCACTAGCTTTGTTGCCGTCGTGCAATTGTGTAATCTCGTCATATCCCTCTGTAAAATATCATTTTCTGGTGCCAATAATATTATATAGGCATCCTTTTCGTTATTTTTAACTGTCATCTTTTTTTTGATACGACAAACTATCTTTTTCGTCTTTTCTATATATAGTATCTTCGTAATTTCAACGTCATAGCCACAGATTTTTCTTATATTGCCATTCAATGATCAATCATAGTAACGGCCAGAAGAAAACTGGTTACGTAAAGATTCAGCAAAGGGATTCTTTTGAAGAAGAAACAATTGACTTTGATTCTCCACCGGCACAATCACTACAAACCACCAAACCTTACTATAGAAGTAATAGTGATAATATTAACAGTTACAGCCGAAAAAAGAAGCGGCCACTTCTTTTTCCCTTTCAGGAATCTCGTATTCTAACAGAACAAGAATCTCCCCGAGACAACATTTACACACACTCGACGATGGAACCATTAAATGAAAACGGTGAAGCGATATATAGCATTTCGGCGCCAGAAAGAAGTGCTACAGCTGAAAGTATTGTAGAGCTCGAAGAAGAATCCGAGACAAATAACCACAATAATAATAGTAATAATAAAAAAAGACATAATAGTGATAATATCCACCACCACTACCACCCACATTATTCTCCTAGTACATGGACACAAATTTCGAGAAAATTCTTAAAAGGAAAAAGAAAAAATTTGGACGAGTATGATTTCGTATCGATTTTTAAACCCATTGCTTCGCTCAAGGATTGGCAGGTGAGACATTGCTTGATTGTGTGGTATGTGTAATTGAATTTTTTAGAATGCGTGTGAAACAATTCAATTAGGAATATTAAAAAAATGTCCTCCATTTCCTTATTTAGCCCACCTTGATGCCCCTTACAGCTGATCACAAGCCTCCGATGAATACAGAACAGTTTCTGGAGATTGTCGAATCTGTGAAAACTGCAATTTCATCTGGATATCCGCCTCAACGTATTAGTCAAGGTTCCTCAGGATCCTATTTTTGTCGTGACAAGGAAGGAAGGATCGTCGGTGTTTTTAAGCCAAAAAATGAAGAGCCATATGGCAATTTAAATCCTAAATGGACCAAATGGATTCATCGTAATTTATTTCCTTGTTTCTTTGGAAGAAGTTGGTGAGTTTTTCTCTTGTTTTGACATCTCTGTGTCTTTGATTATTTTCCGATAATATTAATACGATATTCTGAATTTATTGAGAAAGCTTGATTCCAAATCTCGGATATATCTCAGAGGCAGGAGCATTTCTGCTCGATCAACGTCTACAATTACATATAGTCCCGTTCACTAAAGTGACGCATTTATCATCGCCAAGTTTTCATTACGACTATTTGGATCGTCATGCTGCGAAATCAAAAAAAAATCCAAAACCATTGCCTGAAAAAATCGGCAGTTTTCAAGTATTTCTTGAAGGATACAAAGACGCCAATGTGTTTTTGAGGGATCATCCATGGCCAGAAAATGATAGTCAAAGTAATCTTATGAGAGCAATGAGCCAAGAAATTGAGAACGAGCCAGAGCGACAACAACATAGTCGCTTGAACGCGCTAATGTGCCTAAGTAATAATAGGTTAGAAGGTGGTGATGAATCAGAAGAATCTTATCCGTTGGGAAGGCGTTTTGCTTGGACCCAGGCTTTACAGGATCAATTTAGGGAGCAGTTTGAAAAATTAATTATTTTGGATTATTTAATGAGAAATACTGGTATGTTTGGTGTCTTCTTGCAATTAAGTCTTTTATAAAAGTAGTAATAACAAGTATATTGTGAATTTCCGATAAGATCGTGGATTAGATAACTGGATGATTAAATATTGCGAAAAACCTGAGAACATTAACGTTGCACTCTCACCTCCTAAACCCGTGAATATGATGTCAATGAAAAAATCAGAAAATTCAGATAGTGAAAATACGCCTTTGAATACACCTAGTTGTGATATTTTTGACATTATAAGCACATCACCATCCACATTTCCAGAAATAACAGATGCAAAATTGGATAACAATAATGACAACATTAATAATGGAACCAATACACCTTTACAATCGAAAACAAATCCAGCATCCACAAATGCAGACAATGAATCCTTAAATTCAGCGAATAAGTCGCCGTCGTCGTCGTCTTGCAGTCAAAAGTCATTTTCCACTCCATATCCCCATGTCCATGTAGCAGCCATTGACAACGGTTTAGCTTTCCCGTTCAAGCATCCCGATTCATGGAGATCTTATCCTTATGGATGGCTATATTTACCGACAAGTCTAATTGGTAGACCTTTTACTCAAAAAACAAGGAATCACTTCCTTCCTCTTCTCAGTGATCCTCAATGGTGGAAAGAAACAGTCAACGAACTGCGAGTATTATTTCAAATGGATGCTGACTTTGACGAAGGAATGTTTCAGAAACAAGTCTCGGTTCTAAAAGGCCAAGGCTGCAATATAATCGAAGCATTAACACAACTAGATCAAGGTCCAATAGATCTTTATCGAAAACAAAATGTTGTGATTGTTTTAGACGAAGAGACAGTCGATGATGATAACGATGAAATTATGCCAAGTTCTGTAGATGATTATGTAAGCCATAATAATGCTGCTGGAATTCCTGCTGTTAATAATGCGATTGGAGGAGAACCTGTCTCGGAGCGATTTGATATTCCTCCTTCACCAAAAATAAGGCGAAGTATGTCAGAAGATAGTGGCTCTATACAAAGACCTTCGGCTGCTGTTAGTGCTGCCGGAAAGTCTTCATTAACTGCTGCCTCGTCGATGAGCCAAAAATGGGCAGCGAAACTGAAAAGCAAGTTAAATTTTGATTTTGATTCAAAACACGGTGATGGTGAAAGGAGAAAGAAAAAAATTGTTCGTGAACGATTAGATACTGTTAAAGGAGCGGTTCCTTTTTTCACTTGTTGCTAATGTAGTTGTTTTTATTTTTGTTCATCATTCATCATTTTGGGTTTTTGTTAAGAGCAATTTTGGTAATTATATAATATAAATAAAAGTTTTTTGACGGAAAAAATCTAATGATCACTTCATATTATTTTTGCTAAATTTTCTGGACAACAATTCAAATACGTATATATACCACTTGGACTAGTACTTTCCAAAATAATTTGATAATTTTCACTTTAATATATAAAGAAAACATAATTTGCTAGGGATGTTAAAGATCCGATTCCGTTCAAAGAAATAAATACAGTAGTCTGCATAAATAACATAACCATATAAGTAAATAAAAAATGAAGACATTATCTGTAATACTTGTTAATTATCCTAATAATACAAACCTTTATAGCCATGCTCATTTACACTTTAATTATCCTGTTTTGCTTTTTCATTTATATAAACATGGTGATAATTTATATACAATATCTGGATACTTTAAATAGCAATCAATACATGAAAATGTAAAGTACTCCTTTTATTTACAAAAAAAATGAATAGAGCTAATTTAATTTTTTCATTCTCACTAAAAATTGTTTCATTTATATAGTGTTATTGTTTTGGTTAACTTTCAAAATACTCAAAGATATTTATAATATTCAAAAGAATATTCAAAGAAATTTATAATGTTATAATAATAATTTAAAGTATTATAACTATTAGACTGAATACATATTAAGTACTAAAAGTACTAATGATAAAATTACTAAAAGTGATAACAGTTTGTATTCTTTAATATTATAATTTGAACAGCTAAAAAGTGTTCTCTAAATTTTGAAGTCAAAATATAAAGATTATAATATTTGTATTATAACAAATATGACTCAAAAACATATTTATAAATTGTAATAATAATTTTTTATTCAATTATAATTTTATTACAAATATATATCAAAGGATTTAGAAATTAATCATCAAAAAATATAGTATTTATAACAAATATGCTTGAATAACTAATATTTTATTTAAGAATTGTATTACATTTATAACAAACATGTTAAAGTAATTATACAAAAAAACAAGAATATACTTTGTTAAAGAAATATAGAAAAAAGTTATATTTGACTATTTACTCTATAATATATACAAACTGAACTTTTTTAAACAATTAAAAGTGAGAGATAGCTAATTATAAAATAATTAGAAACTATTTTCCAGTAAAAAAAACAAAAATCTATCAAAAATCCAGTTTTTTATACAAATTTGACAATAATCTATTTTTATAATTAAATTAAAAATAGATATTTATTAGTTTTTTATTTAAATCTGATATATAATCATTTTTAATTAGACTTCAAAAATGATTTATTGTTGAATTTATATTAGTTTTTATTTAATCTGATATATAATTATTTTTAATCAAGTCAAGTAGTAGAAAAAGTAAGCAAACTTTTTGATTTTTGTTTTTCAATTTTATATCTTTTGATTTTTTAATTTTTGAGTCTTTTTAGTCTTTTTTTGAGAGTTTATGACAAAAATTAATTAAATTTTTTATTTGAAAGCTTTTCTATATAATATTTTTTTGTAAATTCAAGATTTTTAAAATATAAAATCGATATAAAAAAATTTAAATATTTGAAATTGATGTAATTTAATTAGGATTTCTAACAAGCTGACTTTCAAATCTCTTGAGCTAAAATTTTATATAATTTAATAATATGAATTTAAACTCTATTAATTAAATTATATGTATATGAACCAATAAATTAAACTTTTTAGAGTTTTAAATTTAATACATAACTAAAAAATCTTTAATTTTTTATAAATTATTAAAATTGTTAATTTGGAATCTGAAAAATTTTAAGCTTTTTTAATGATTTTTTAGATAGTAAATTATTTTGTATATTCAAAGAGACTTTAATTTTTTATTAATTATTTTTCTTATGAATTTCAAGACTTTAAAAATCTAAAATTAATAACATTTTTTTTATATATTAAAAATCAATATATCTTAAATTTTCAAGTTTTATAATTTGATTACTTAATATAAAAATATACTAATTTATTTGATTGCTAAATAACTTTTTGTTTTGGAAAATATAGCAATTCAAATATAAAGCAAAGCAAAACATTAACTATTGTTATTATTTTTGTGAAATTTAAGTTATTTATATATTATTCACATGTTTTTATTAATTTAAAAATAGAAAAAACTAAGTTTTTATATTAAAAAAAACTAAAAACTATTATTAAAAATAGTATTATAATATAAATATTTAGTTCTTATTTTATTGATTAATTTATATTATAAATTTAATTAAATAATATTTTATTATATTTTATTAATTAATTTTATATTGTTATAATTTGATATTTTACAAAATAATTATTATTGCAAGCAATTATTTCAAGTAATTACTTTAAATGATTATTTTAAATAATTATTTCAAGTGATCATTTCAAATGATTATTTTTTATTTATTAATTACTTATAAATATTACATATATTTTAACTAGTAAAAAAATAAATTTCATAGTACTTAGAATCTCAAGAATAATAAATAATAATTAAAAACATATAATAAATTAATAATAAATTTATCTAATAATAAAATTATAATAAAATTATAATTTTATAATAAAATTATATAAAATTCTTTAATTAAATATTTTTATTAAAAATTTCAGATCTTATTCTAATTAATTATATTATAAAAATATTATTACTTTTCTTTAAATTTGTTATATAGTCAATTTCTCTATAGTTACTATTCTCGAGAAAACAAAATTCGATAAATTTTTTATTATATTTATATATAAATAAAAAAGTAAAATAGAATAACTATAGAAAAATATAACTATAAATGAATATAATTATAGAGAGATTTAATTGTAATTATAATTTAATACTTAATATATTATATATATTTGATTATATTATACTTTCTCATCCATAATTTTTAATAAATTTTATTATAATTATTCTAATTGAGTAACTTATTATTACATTATTAAGCACTCTTCAGCTCTTTTAAAAACTTATAAAATATAATAATAACTTTTTTGATACTCTTTTTATAGATGAAATATAATTTTTTATCTCTTATTATTAATAAAAAAAGTTATTATCAAAAAAAAATAAATAAATAAAGATAACAACTATGATAATTACAAAATATAATAATATTATGAAAAATCATAAAAAATTACATGTCATATATTATAATTAACTAATTAAAATTCAGAATTATCAAAATCATTGCTTAGATTAAATTAGTATTATACTTATCATTTCTTGATATTATATTTTTTCTAAATTAATCTTATAATTGTTTTTAAGTAACATTACTCATTATGTAGATATGTATTATATTTACATATATTTAAACATATATAATTTAATATAGAATAAAATAATTATCAAGTAATTTAGAAGTAATTATAAAGTAATTTATAAGTAATTTAGTACCGTAAAGCGCTCTTTAAAGGCGCAGAGATATTTTATATCCACTTAAAATTAGGGGATATC